TGAGACTAGGCCAATTCAATACAATACCGTCTTAAAGTTCATACAGTCCGCGGCATATCACATCATAATGTATCATATATTTCCTTATCTGAGTCAGCTGAGCTGTATCTGGCCGTGCAACACTCACAGTGTCACATACTGTATGCAGAAGTATTATTTTAAGCAACACATTAAGTTGACGAAACACTCGAGACAAATGTAATTAAAGTCAGATCCACTCGTGTCTTAGACGGGGCAGTGATATCATAAACCTGTTAATGTACGCATTCAAACACTTTTTCTTTTACCAGCTGTATTCACCTTGCAGGTGCAACTAAGTGGCTTTTATCCTGGATAAAGTGTTTAAGTCATGGATGTTTAAAGTTTAACTTCTTTATATGTCTAATATTATAGTTGACTTTTCATTCAGGAAGTATGACGCTGCGCTGTCAGTACGCTTCTCCATGTTTGTGATTGGTCGAATGCTCCAAATACCACCCCTTTCATGTGAACGCGCACCTAACTAGATAGGGCACGGCTGGCTTGAGCAATCCACTTGATAAACCGCTTCGTAGTACCGTTTAGCGAGAGCGCGTATGTTTTGGATTAGGCCAACCGGCTAACTCAAACATATCCAGGTTAGGTTGAACCAGCTTCGTAGTATACCCTCCTGGTCCACAAGTCTAACAACAACAAAATGTTCCTGTTGTTTCGCAGACACCATGGTGGAGCGAGTCCCTGAGTCCATCAACTTTCCCTCTGAGGAGGAGAAGATCATGACGTTCTGGAAAGATAAGGACTGCTTCCAGGAATGCCTCAAACAGTCCAAGAACCGGCCAAAGTAAATACAACTTCTTTATATTTGTTTTTTATACGAAAAATGTATTTCTACAACTTTTTGTTTAAGTGTGAGATGAGTTGATCATATTTGTTAAAAATGTATTATAATGTATTTTAATGAGAAATGATTACGAACATGTATTCAGTGTTTCAGAACAGTCACACCTTTCTACATCTTTCAATTCTGGCAGTGGTTACGAATTTTACAAGGAATTATTAGTCAAGCTATTCTGCTGCCGAGTAAAGAAGTGGCTTCTCCAACCGGTTACCATTTAATACGTTCAGAATTTGATCATCATGACTATCAGTACTTATTAGTAATATACTACATGTACTTAGAAACAATGGCCCATTGCATTTAGTTTTATTAGTGAACATTTTATTTTCACAAGTTTAATTCACCACAACACAGTTTTTTATTATGTATTATGTTTCCTTTCAAGCCATCAAAATATTTAAATGTGTTGATGACTTTTGATCATTTTCAAAATTGCAGTGAATAAGCCAACCCTCCCCAACACTACAACGATTTAACACGGTATTTGCTTAATAACACTTCCAAATCACCTGCTCTGAAATGACCACAGAATCAAACCACTGATGTGACAGTGTCAATAAAAAGGGAACAGCATCACCTTTTTAAACATGGCAAACACAAACAGCTCTTCTTCATTTTTCTTGCTGCAAGCTAAAAACAGAGATGGCAGTGAATGTGATTTTCTATACAAAGAAACCATGAATAGACTTCATAACTTGACTGAAAAGGTTTACAGTCATCATCGTCATATTGCCTTAACCTCTCACATTCACTTTCAAGCTTTTTATTCAAATAAGTCTACATCCCGTTTCCCAACCAGGTACACCTTCTACGATGGCCCTCCCTTTGCCACGGGTCTCCCTCACTACGGGCACATCCTGGCCGGCACCATCAAGGACGTCGTTACTCGCTTCGCCCACCAGAGCGGCTTCCATGTGGACCGGCGCTTCGGCTGGGACTGTCACGGCCTGCCTGTGGTAAGAATCTGTCTCTCTGAATACTGTTCAAATCACTTTTTACTGAAAGTTTGGCGTGGATTATCAGATGTGTTTCTGTTTTTCTCATTCTTCTCTCTTTCTTTGTAGGAGTATGAGATTGACAAGACTTTGGGCATCAAGGGGCCTGACGATGTGGCCAAGATGGGCATCGCTGAGTACAACAAGCAGTGCAGAGGCATTGTCATGAGATACTCCAACGAGTGGGAGGTGAGCATTCAGGAAGGAACAATGTGTGAACATGTTTTTTTATTTGAATGTGTCAATCAAATAGCTTACTAGAAGTGTGAAACTTTTAGAGTCTCACAATTGTAAATCAATTTAGATTCAAAACTGATTCTTGGATTCAGTTAAAAGATGTGATTATTTCAGGAACTGCTCAAGACAGCTGCGTTCCAATGAAGGCGGTGTGGGAAATGATGGCTTTGAAGCAGCTTCGATGAGCATTAAGAAGATAATAAAGTTATAATATTTGAAAAAGTTATATCAACAATATCAAGTTGTATTAATCAAGAAAAACCTAAGACAAGGGTATCATTTATTCATGCTAAACTTGCAAAAACCTTTCAATTCTCAGTGACTTTTTATATATTTTTAAGAAACTTTCCAATTTTAAAGATAAATTGTAAACAAATAAAACGGTAAAACTGTTTGTTTTTTGTGATTTTTCAACAAATCACACAATAATGCTCAACATTACTTTGAAATGGGTTTTGGGGATTTAAGTCCATCAGTAGCAATATCAGTTGAAGAAAGAAAAAGTTACGAAAATAAAGATAGTCTTGGATGTTGTGAGTGAAACCAAAAAAATAGCAATTTTTTTGTTTTTAATTGCTTTTCCTATCCCTTTTCCATTCAACCAATGCTTATTATTTTCCTTTCCAGACTGCAGTGAAGCGAATGGGAAGGTGGATTGACTTTGACAAGGACTACAAGACTCTCTACCCATGGTTCATGGAGACTGTCTGGTAAGGATTTATTATTTTACATGTACAAGTGTGCGCCTGAAGACACATCATTTATATTGTATTTTAATCATTGAACAGGTGGGTGTTCAAACAGCTGTACGACAAGGGTATGGTTTACCGAGGAGTCAAAGTCATGCCTTTCTCCACTGCCTGCAACACCCCCCTGTCCAACTTCGAGTCCCACCAGAACTACAAGGTTTGCACAAATCCCACTCCGAGTAACTGATACTCAAGTTAACCCAAGTTACTCAGAGTGACAAAGTGCAGCACCACTAACACAATTTACTGTCTGGATGTAAATGCTGAATTGACTTCATCTCTGTTTTTATTTTTGTCTCCAGGACGTTCAGGACCCGTCGGTGATCGTCAACTTCCCGTTGGTGGGGGATGAGGATGTGTCTTTGATCGCCTGGACGACCACACCCTGGACCCTGCCCAGCAACCTGGCCCTCTGTGTCAACCCGGAGTTCTTCTACGTCAAGGTCAAAGGTGAGAGACCAAGCCTGACGAGTGCTGTGTCAGTGTATGCTGCTGCTGAGCTTTACACTGTGCTGGTTATGGATGACATTTGCATCATTAGACGTCAATCAAAATCGGACTTCACAATGCTTATCCCAATTAACTTAAGCTTAGGGACAGCATAAAGTTTTACCAACAGTTACTTGTAACTTGTTTTTTTTATCTTACATGGTCCTGTAGCTGTTTCCCCACAATCCACTATAAGTATACATTTTTGTAAGACTTTAGGATTTTGTACATTTGTCAGTCTCTACGTCCTTATACCCTTTTGGGAAAGCATTGAGGGTAATATTCTTCAAACTTGGCACAATCATCCACTACAAATCAAGGATGAACCGATTTGATTTTTAGCAAGGTCAAAGTTTCCTTACAAAACATATTTTTGACCATTACTCAATAATTAATATGCTAATTAAGATCAGGGTGTCCGCGGGGTCTTAAAAAGTATTAAAAGTCGATAAATCAATTTAGCGAAAATGAAGGCTATTAAAAAGAAGTATTAAACGGCATTTTCCAAGGTATTAAGAAGGTCCACAGCAACGACAACATGAAACACCCTTTAATTGACTGCAACGACATGTCGGGGAAACCCCCTCAAGGCGGCCCCATGCATAGCGCGCCGTAAAATGCTGATTCTAATTTTAAGTTTCGTTGCCTTACTTGGATCGAGAGGCCCCCACAGACTCTATAATCACCATTGTCGATGGGGATCAAAGCTGTCCGGTCCCACATGCTAAGTGCTAGCCAGAAAGCCGCGGCGTTTAAGTCCCGACTCTCCCGATAGCCAATCCGTGCCTCCCCTGACTGCACGTCGCTGACACGCACCGCTGCAGACTCTGCACGGAGGAGCCGCGAAGGAGCAGCGGAGTCCGGCCGATGCTGCTCCTCCAAGGAAGAGACACACGTTCACTAAGCCAAACTATATCCTGTCACAGTGATCTGCTATTATAAAGTAAACTCAACACATATCGACCCTAAATATAGTCTATATTAAGAACGATAAAAGTGTTAACATAGGCTATATATCGTTTTTTGTTTTATCTCTTGGGAACAATGCCTAAATCAAACTTTCTAATGGTTTATTTTTCTAATAAACTTTGCATTGGGTTAGTCACTCAATTCATTATCTTGTGCTTTGTTCTATCTGAATTATGATAAGGAGTTATCACAAGCTGTTTAGTTGTGCTATCTTACAATCAATACTGTATATAGTAAATGTGAGGTAAAGTGTGTCGCCAATGTAACCGGTTAGAACTCGAAGTAGCGATGAGGTCTTAGAATGTATGGAAAGGCTCTTAAAAAAGAATTCCTGCATATACCCTGAAGAAACATATTTAAGACAAAATTCAATTTCAATTCAAGTTTATTTATATAGCCCAAAATCACAAATGAAGTGAAGACATTTGCAAACTGCAAATGTAGCGGTTGTCCGAGGCATACAACCGTTTTTCTGTTTTAAGTTTGCATATTTAATTTTTTAAGTATATATTTATTGTTTCACTTAACTACTGTGAACACGCTTTATACCTACAATTGCTTATCCAAGGATCAAATTAGGCCACAGGTTAGGTTCTTGAAAATCAGTGATTGTTCCCCTGAGCAAACACAAAGGTCCCCTGATGTGCTGATTGGGACTGATTGCTGCTCTGTGGAGCTTGTGTGTTTGTGTTTGAGAACACGTTTTTGTACAAATCTGTTCCCAGTGTTATCCTGTAGTCAGGATACTTTCAGATTATTGCAAGAATCGGCAATAATTTGTTGCTGTTGTCTGTACTTTCATGCCATTATAGGGAAACAGCATAACTATTACACATGCTCACACATCCTGCCACAAACATGTTTGTGCTGTGGATTACTAGAGTTACCAGGATGAATTGTTTTGTTTAATGAGGCTGCTTGAATGCTGTAGCCTAGGGCAAACGTTTTATTACTGAAACCCTCGTGAGTTGAGTGTTCTGGACTAAAGAATTGGCTGAAGGGCGATTTTAATCAGAAAGAACAAACAAAAACAAATTAACTGCACATTTGCACCATGAGGAAAGGATTTTTAACACAATGTGTTGGCAGAGCTTCCAGCCTTTGGCTTAGTGTTAGCTGATGAAATAAAACGCTTTTGTTGTTGTATGATGAGGGACTCTTTCACTGGTTCTTTGTGTTATTGTTAAACTAAGAAGCACTTCACATTCAGCATCATGCTGAAGCACAACAGGTCCGTGGTTAAATCACCCTGTCGGATTCAAACAAAAGACAATTACATATAGAGTGGGGCAAAAAAATATTTAGTCAGCCACCAATTGTGCAAGTTCTCCCACTTAAAAAGATGAGAGGCCTGTAATTTTCATCCTGGGTACACTTCAACTATGAGAGACAGAATGGGGGGAAAGAATCCAGGAAATCACATTGTAGGATTTTTAATGAATTCATTGGTAAATTCCTCGGTAAAATAAGTATTTGGTCACCTACAAACAAACAAGATTTCTGGCTCTCACAGACCTGTAACTTCTTCTTTAAGAGCCTCCTCTGTCCTCCACTTGTTAGCTGTATTAATGGCACCTGTTTGAACTCGTTATCAGTATAAAAGACACCTGTCCACAACCTCAAACAGTCACACTCCAAACTCCACTATGGCCAAGACCAAAGAGCTGTCAAAGGACACCAGAAACAAAATTGTAGACCTGCACCAGGCTGGGAAGACTGAATCTGCAATAGGTAAGCAGCTTGGAGTGAAGAAATCAACTGTGGGAGCAATTATTAGAAAATGGAAGACATACAAGACCACTGATAATCTCCCTCGATCTGGGGCTCCACGCAAGATCTCACCCCGTGGGGTCAAAATGATCACAAGAACGGTGAGCAAAAATCCCAGAACCACACGGTGGGACCTAGTCCATGACCTGCAGAGAGCTGGGACCAAAGTAACAAAGGCTACCATCAGTAACACACTACGCCGCCAGGGACTCAAATCCTGCAGTGCCAGNCATTCCACCGTTCTGGAAAATCGCCATCCGTGGAGGAACCGTGAGGATTGCATCAGTGTCTCCTCGTTTAAGCCTCCTACCAGGAGAGCTCCTCATGCCGATGCCTCGGTCCTCGAAGTGCACACACGAAAATTAAGATAGTCCTTCAAAATGGCGCGCTCGAATCATGTCGGTCACTACCGGAAGGACCGAGTAGTCGAGGAGTCGAGAAGGAAATTGAGTATTGAGAAACCTCTCTATGTGCCAACCCCTCTGTACTCCTTTCATCCTTTGGGTCGAACTCCAGGAGCTGGGCCGAGGGTGAAAAGGGTCGAACGAGCAGTAGTAGAGGAGCGGGGGTGAAGAAGAGTATCTCAAGTATAGGGTGGTGAAGGGAGCGGCGGAGTACTCCTCCATTTGTGTCATAGGTCTCCCTATAATCAAGACATTCCTCAGGCGGGTGCAGTGATACTTCTTACAAGGTTTTCTGCGCGATGTGTTGTGTCTTTCTCTTGTTTTGATTCCTCTTGTTGCTTGTCCTTGGCAGAGGGAACAGATTGATGACGCAGGCAGTTGAATATGTTAGAGATAAACAATTTTACTCCTGACTGGCAAACTCCATCTGCCGTAAAAAGATGTCTGCGGTCCTAGAAAAATTTAAAATTGTCAATAAAATGGACAGAATGGTCAGTACAGGCAGTTAACACTAGAACCGCCAACGGGTACATTTTACCCGCAGCTATTTTTTGATTGTATGTAACTTTTTTTCAATAACATATTAAAGTTTCCCAGTCCGTGACTTTTCCTGAAAGTGTGTTATGTAGCACCCTCTATTGTTAACAATTGTCAATATGAAGTCATGAAACAAGCCATTTATACCCATATCCGCCAGCGGGTAATATTTACCTCATAGAAAATGCAGCGTAAACATGACGTGTTGCTATAGCAACGCCTTTTGTCTACTGCGGTTCCTTATAGATAGAGAGAGAGATAGATAGATAGATATATTGATAGATGGATAGAGAGAGAGATAGACGGATAGATAGTTATAGATAGTGTAACATCTTGGAGAATACAAGATCTTGGATGACTGAGCTCACGTTGAGGACGTAATGCATGTGTGCGGGTTACGTGCCAGTTGAATAAAGATGGACACTCGGAATGAGAGAAGTAGTCCGCGTAGTCTGTTTATGTAGACAATTATATGTCCATTGAACAGAACATTACAGACAGATCGATAGATAGTTATAGATAGATAGAGAGAGATTGAGAGATTTGTACCTAAACAAAACACAAGTCTAACACCAAGCGTTTAAATCAGCACTCTTAGCGATATTTTATACTTCATGTTATCTGCACAAACTATATCATATGAAAAGCTGAGAGTCCAACGATTCTATTGGTATAAGTTTCATCCCTGTGCGATCAAAACTCACTGTTCTGTATGATAAATAAAATAACATTGTACTTTGCAAATCAATAGCGGGTACATTTTACCCGTTGGCGGTTTTAGGTATACAGCGACCTCTGGCGGTTCTAGTGTTAAATACTTTTCATTTTAGGTCTGTGTGAAATTGGACAAATCGTTTGATGTATTGCCATGACACATTTATGCTCCCCTACCTTTTTATCCAGTTCAATCAGGTTAAATTAAAATGTGGTTTATGAGCAAATACCTTCTTAACTGAGTTTAGTTTAAACTAATACATGTTAAACAATATACCTGCTGACGTCGCCATGCTAGCATGATTTAGACATGAACCTTTAAGTTTGATGTTATTTCGGTTTATTACCCTCAAAACATGCAGATGAGTTGTCAGTACATTTCTTAATCTCAAGTAGTATCTGCAGACTTCCTTTCATTCTGAAACAGCCTCCTCCAATCAGAGACATTTTGAACAGCTGAACAGTCAGAGGACACTGTTCACGAGGGATTGAATAGTGATTAGATCAAATAAAGTGTGAATGACAGATAATGATATGTTTTGTTGATGTGATCAGATTCCAAGGCAAGACGCTGAAAGGGAAAAAATACAAGCCTCTTTTCCCGTACTTTGCCAAGGTTAGTAGTTTGTGTTCTTGCTCCTGCTGCATGTGATAATATATTGTTTGCCACAATATGAAGACAGACCTATGTCTCACTTTAATTACCTGTCTGACCACAAATTGGCATCTCAGTTTACTCTCTCTTCATCTGTCTTTTTTATTTTTCTTTCTCTCACTATCTGTGGCTCTATTTCTTCCTCACCACTCGCCGCGGTTCGTCTGATTCTCCTCTTCCTTGTTCCTCTTCAGTGTGGAGAGCAAGGAGCGTTTCAGGTGGTGTTGGATAACTACGTCAAGGAGGAAGAGGGCACAGGAGTGGTCCACCAGGCACCTTACTTTGGAGCTGTGAGTGTCCTCTTTTTTGTTCTCCCACACTGCTTGTATTTATTTATTCAGATCAAGAGATGGATCTGTTGGTTTATAGGATATCCCAAATAAACAAAATTCACCATAGACATTCTCTATGTGAACAAAAAGGCCCAAAGATATTGAAGTTATAATGATTTGAAACAGAAATAATATGTTTTAGAGGCACATACTAGCAACTACTTAAGATTTTGACTTGATACATGACTCAATAGTAGTAAGAATGCAGTTTATTGGCTGATAGTTTCAGTACCACTACTGCAGTTTAACAATATTAGCACCTACTAACAAGTGTTTTTGACAACAAGTTTTCCAGACCAGTCAAATAATAATATAAAATGGATGTAATCTAACAGAATAGTTTTTAGCTGCACTAGAATAATTGGTTAACAAGATGAGTGCTGTTTTTGAAGAAGGTAATAAGTGAAGGAACAGGAAAACCAGTGACACATTTTCCTTTCGTTCTGTCTTATTTATGACAATGTGAAGAGTGGTTCAAGTGGATTTAGAAATTGTCAGATGAATATTTGAGTGACAGTCACTGGTTAAAGCAGTCAACCTCGGGGAAACCTGCTCCCCTCTGTCACTGTCATGAGATCCACCTGACTCTGGTGAGCCTCACCCACCTCCTTTTTAATTATTATGTACCGTAATTTTCGGACTATAAGGCGCACCTGAATATAAGCCGCAGCAGCGGCATACCACTCTCGGTTCCACTTTTACTTTTGCGCGCTACCTGTCTCAATCTTTTCCGGCATCCAGCTTTTCCTGCTGGAACCCGCCGCTTAAAGGAGGGGGTCCGCGGACCGGCCATAGAGCCCATAGAGTTAAAGGTGGTGGCCGTTAGCTGTAAAAATCCATAGATTAGCCGCACCGTTATATAAGCCGCAGCGTCGAAAAATGGGGAAAAAGGCGCGGCTTATAGTCCAAAAATTACGGTACTTCACTTCGTTGAGTGATTTGGAATGACATTGAGAAACACTTCTGAAACGTTGCTACTAGAAGGCTTGTTAATCCAGTTTTGCAGATGCTTATATGGAGCACACTCTGGAGGAAAACAAGGCCATCTTCTGTCAAGTGTAACTCTGTGGGTGGCTTCCCCGGCATCTTATGCTCATAAAAACGCACCCAGTCCTGTTTTGTCTTTCATGTCCCTCTATGAGCACATGCAGTCATTGATATCTATCAGAGGACTAAACTTAACCAGAAACTACATTTGTTCTTGAAATGTATGTGAAACAATAGGATTTTTATTAATGATTGAAACAATTGGTTGTTCAAAGCTTAAGGTCTCCCTTGAAAAAGAGACCTATGATCTCAATGGGACCGATCTGGATAAATAAATGTTTGAAATGAAATGAAGCTCAAGGCAAACATATTTAATAAATTAGGATGATCAGGACCCACTGGTCTTGAATTCTATATCCGTGTTTTTTTTTTTTTTTAGAGTTTGTCCTTCAATACCTTCCTTCTAGTTCACCTTTTGTTATGTTTATTTGTGAACTAACCCGGTTACATTTATGTGGATGCTTAAGATAGTTTTATGGGATATTTGTATTGAACCCTGCATCATGTATTTGTACAGTGTAGTCCGGTTTATGAGTCTTGGAATATTTCACATTTACCATACATTTGAAACATAAAGGGGTGTTTATTTATCTTTTTTTTTAACTCAACTATCAAAATACGGTAAATAGCTGAATTGCTTTTGTATTTTAAGAGTTTCTAAATGTTGCCATGACCAAGTGGCAGTTGCTCTGCTCGTACAGCCTGCCTCATATACTAATATTACACAAACTGTGAAAAGCTTCACAGCGCTGTGCTGAGTCCAAAAACCGTCCCTCACAATCCCAAAACAAAAGCTCACGGTCTTGTTTTCCTACGACCCACACAACCCCTAGCCGTATGTGCACTACAGGTGCTCTGAGCAAAAAGATATATTCTGCAGCACATGAAAAACCCATGTCTCTTACACCATCAATGTAGCCGAAAGAGAAATGATGACCGGAGGGATGTAAATAAGTCGGACTGTAACAGACTTTCCTTGCTTAAAGAAGGGGTAATAACCAGGTAATGGAAACCCTGGTTGCAGTGCTATCAGAGGTATTGGGTTATTTCTAATAGGTGAGATGCCCTTGCCAAAGGCAGATTGAGGCCCCTGCGGCTGTAACCAGCTGTGGATAAACGCTCAGTCTCTCTGTCTTAGCTTCCTTTTCTGCACTCTGCTTATTTAACTGCAGCTCAGTCCCTATGGGGATGTAAAGCAGCCCTTCACATCAACATCACACATACACATTAGCATTTAAATGTTAGAATTTGTTCTATTTGGTAACAGTTTTGTTATCCAGTGATCACATTCAAGTGGATTGGTTGTTGAACATTTGAAACATGCATACATTTGCTCTGAAGATATACAGTGAGGAGAAATGAGCTGCCAAAACACATTTTTCAAGTTTTATGTCGTTATGACTGGATGTGAAATGACCCTGTGGAGCATCCATCTTGGATCTTGACAGGGTGTTTGAATACAAAATACATTTACAGCTGGACAGGACTCCGACCTTTCATGCATAGCTGTCACATGCCATAGGTGCTTCTTCCAACACGCAAAGTATGTAGCTCAACAAGGCGTATGAGATGAGGTCATAACATATCTCTGAGCTGCCTAAGGGGATATGTAATTGGTTATTTTTATATACAGTTTAGTTACACAGCATCTATTTGGACAATAGCAGTGAAACAAAACCTTACCTTGGAATACAGTGTCACTGTTTATAGATAATACAAGATGATGTGACTTAATGAGTCACAATTCAAGATGTAGTAATAGGCTGCAGTCTATGCCTTTTTTTGTTTTTATAATAAGGGCCTCAACTTACACTTGTTTTCATAATTGCTGAAGTTGAATGATTTACTAATCCATGAACAGTTTTTTTTTATATAAAAAAAGAACACTGAGTGTAATTACATCAAACATACTTGGTTCATACCCTCATCTTACTGCTCCACGGTTTAAAGTGTGTTATTTAACAGCAACCTTACTTTGAACGGCCACATCAAATCATCAAATCGAGTGTTTGGCGATGTTTTTTTCAACCTTGGTAAATGAAACGAAGTAGCTTCTGTCTTATAGAATTACTTAATCGAAACAAATATATTTATTATATATTAATTAGGGATGCCAGAAACTGACCATGATCAAATTCGAAAATCGGACAGTCCTGGCGAATATTAATCAATTACTATCGGGAAAAAAATTTTTTAGCGACACAATTATTTTTTGCACTCTGCGCAGCCTGCGCTGCTGGCTTCCTCCAAGTTTACAGTAAAACAAACTGGTGGTGTGAACAATGGCCATTTACAATTATTAATACTATTACTATTATTAGTCTATATTTTTGGTTGAAACTAAGCCAGAAAAAAAATGAAAAACATAAATAATTATAAAAATATATAAATAAAATCAAATAAAGAAATAATAATTTTCGATTATGGAGACTGCAACGAATATTCGAAAAATCGAATAATCGCTGGCATCCCTAATATTAATGCATTTTTATATGCATTACTGATGAATGGGAAGTAGAAATGCTTTCAACCACTAAACCCTTTATCTGTGTATTTTTCTCTCTAGGATGATTTCAGGGTGTGCACTGAATACAAGATCATCGCGAGGGACCAGGCTCCGATCTGCCCTGTGGACGCCTCGGGCTGCTTCACTTCAGAGGTCACTGACTTCGTGGGACAGTATGTCAAAGTGAGTGACACATCAGACATTTACATGTAGATTAGGCAAGCAGAAATCTCCGCCTTCAACCACTGATAAAAGGGATAAAACCCGCAACAATATATAGCTGGTGTAATTCGGCATTTCATTTACCGCTTGCTGGGCATCCAATCTCCTATTTTATTCCATTTCCTCTGTGGATATCTGGAAAATACATCTTTCTATAATGATGTTTTCCTCTTACTAAAACATGCCCTTTCTTCATGGCTTTAGATTTAACGCTTTTTCTAAAATTGTTAGTTTGACATGATAAGACACTGAAATAATTATGTTTGTAATGTAATTGTAAATGATTCTTTATGAGCATGACTTGTTCATTGAGGCGGAGAGAGGTAAGGGAATTATCGTCATTGTCACACAGTTGTGTACAAAACCTACTGCCAAAGCACATTCATTGTTTCCCAGAGCACTGGGTTCCCTCCCTGTCACACCCAACTTAATTACCATCCTAAGTGAATAGTAAATGAAAAATAGCAGTTATACATGATGTGATCACTATTTCACATCCTGGCGAAGAAGGCCAGGGAGTGGACTCCACCCGCCTGGACACTAACAGTACAGCGTTAGCTAATGAAGAGTAAGCAGCCACGGTCTTCTGAGAGTCTGTCATTATCCACTTTTGAAATATGTTAAAACAGAGCGTGAATTTCATTGCTGTCTGAGACATTCTTTATTGCCGCATAAAACCCGGAGGTGATCTGAGGGAGGCACAGTCGGGACTTGAGCCACGCAAAGAGAAGCCGAGAGAGCAGCTGTTCTTCTGTTATTACTGAAAAACAAACCCAGTATTTTGCACAACATGAGAGCTGCTTCTTACAGCCAGAAGAGCCTGCAGGTCAGAGGCTCCAGCAGCAAAGTCAGGGTCCAGAGCCCGTCGCCTTCCCGGTGCCGTGGATCCTCCTATGACAGCCGCGGACGCGCCGGTAATCGCAGCACTGCCGTTGAGTTGGGCACAGAGATACACGAGCAACATGCCAACGAGAAAGAGGAAATGCAGGAACTCAATGTCAAGTTTGCGGGATACATCGGGAAGGTCCAGGCGCTAGAGCAGAGAAATGCTGCTCTTCATGTCGAGTTAGCCGCACTGCAGGGCCGCTACAAGGGAGGCCACACAGGAATCGGAGAGGAATACGAGCTCAAGTTTAAAGAGGTGCGTGAGCTGATCGAGGCCCTGACTAATGAGAAGGGAGTGGCTGATATTGAACGAGGCTACATTGAGGAAGAGGTTGAAGTATGGAGACTAAAGCTGGAGGAAGAGCTAGCACTCAAGGAAGAGGCAGAGATGATCCTGAGGGAGTTCCGCCAGGATGTCGACGGCGCCACACTACAGAAGGCTGAGCTGGAGAGGCGCATAGAGCAATTGGTGGCCGAGATAGAGTTCCTCAAGAAGCTGCACGATGAAGAGGTGGCTGACCTCATGAAGCAGATCGAGGACTCAAAGATTACCGCAGAGCTGGATGGTGACCGGCCTGACCTGGCTGCTTATCTGCGCAGCATGCGTGCAGAGATAGAATCGGTCGCTGCCCGAAACGTCCAGGAAGCTGAGAAGTGGTACAAGGGCAAGTTTAACACCCTCAAGGAGCACGCTGGCAAACACGAGGAACACACGAAGACCATGAAAGAGGAGATAACGACCTTCCACAACCAAGTGACGGAGCTGCAGAACCAGATTGATGGGCTGAAGGCTCGTAACTCAGCCATGGAGCAGCAGCTGGAAGATATGGAGATGTCCCACATGGATAAGGCGGAGACCCTCGACGGTGTCATTGCTCAGTTGGAGACCCAGCTCTGCGAAACCAAACTCGAGATGACCAAGTATCTCCATGACTACCAGGAACTGCTGCACATTAAGCTCAAGCTGGATGTGGAGATCGCCACCTACAGGAAGCTGCTGGAAGGAGAGGAAACCAGGCTTGGAATTGCCAAAGATGTCTAAATATTTGTGACGAGAGGATCCGCAAGTCAAAAGCAGCAACAGCGAAGACCAGCAGAGCATTGTGGAGAGGAGCAATCAGCTCATACTTGTTACAAATATTTTTCCCCATCCTTCCCTTCTTCTCTAACCTTGCCCTCTCCACTCCAAGAACTGGGTGTCATTTGAAATGTCTAACTACAAGTGCCAATTCGACACCTCGATCCAACAGACGAGGACTATGATTCATATTTTAAAATTGGCAAGATGTTTTTCAATGAACGGATGGAAGAAGTATCACTACTCTACCGAGGTGCTGGCTTGCAGACATACATTTAAAAAGACTGAATGTGGCTTTTTCAAAATGTTGAATTGAATCAGTAAGTGTGTGATCATAGTCTGCTTGCCTACAAGTGCCTCCCAGTCCTTGGTTATTTAAATGTTTACATCATTTTCTTAAAACAACTCTCTTCTTCTTTACTAACCATCTCTACCTGGTCAACCATGTTCCTGTTTCATGGCCCTTCTTAGTTATTCCTTTTTCCTACAACACACTGGTTGAATTCACCTTTCTTTTTTCTGTCAAATCAACCCTGCTGTTATACGTCCTTCACCTCCTTTCTAACATCTTTTAGCCACCAGTGCTTCTCTTGATCCAACTTAATGATCCTACCTCCTTTACAAAAAACACTCTTGTGCTGCTGTGATGTATCTCAACCCAGTTAAAGCAGACCTGATTACACCAGGGTTTTGTCTGGTCTTAACTCCACATCCTGATTATTCCAACTGTTTAGAAAAACCATTATTGACCATTTAAACTAATTCTGACCAACTGTTGCCTAATAAAGATTGAAGTGAGTGCATACAAAATATTGCATTGGCCTTATTTATTTCTCTTACCTGTTGTACCCTTTATGATGAATCTCTTCTGACTGGTCTACTCCTTCTCTTGCTTTATTTCCCGTCAACTCTATCCTTTTCCTCAGTGTATCCTACTTCATTTTAACCCAAAAAACACTACATCTACTAAAAAGCTTTGTTTTACTGAGTCAGGCTCAATTAATTACAATTATTTTAGTATTTAGTCGTTAGCTTTATCCCCCAAATAATAAATAATTCGCTAAGGAATAAAATGGCTGTGTGAATCTAGCCTTAGGTTGCACGCTGGGTCTGCTACTTTAACTGCGTAGGTTCACATTATTAAAAGAGAAGCAGAAACTATGCTGTGTAATTATATACTTTGTCACAAAAAGAGTCACACATATGTGTGAATAGTCTAGTAGATATATCGAGTAACCCTTGTTTAATCTCAATTGGCCAGGTGGTGAAATGTTCTCATTTGGTTGTAGGCAAAGGTCCAACGAATCTCCACATCACAGGTGTGCTTTCATGTTTTAATGAGCCTGGGTCCGGGCATAACAACATTTACTCCTGGCTGAGAAACTTTAAAAGCCCTCGATCTACAAGGAAGTCACGACCAACGTTCTCCATACCTCTCGTGAAAAGTCATATTTATGAGCTTCCTGTGAATGGTACTGTGAGCTTCGTTAGAGGGGGATGGAAAGTGCGTTATAAGGCACAGGGCTGATTGCTTATTAGATTGTTTGTCATAAACAATGAGCTGGATGACAAAATGGCCAATTTCTCCCTACATCTCAGATGGTATATATCAGACCTGAATGAGCAGACTGACCTTTGCTGCAAATTCACCTTCTTTATTTCGTAAAGTGAAATATAAAGCCACAGGGCTTTTAAGGATCCTGAGCTTTCCTTCCTGAAGGTAAAAATGAATAAAAATTGAAACGTTCACGCTAGTAATGGAGAGGGGGTCAAATGTTTTCTCCTTCACTCTAACTTTGTTTAGTGAAACAAACTGCCTGTGATTCTCTGCAGGGCAAGAAGTAAATAATACTTTTTTTTACCAATTGGCCAATTAGTAACAAACATTTAGTTATAGATTGCTCTTGAGCAGGGAAACCACTGGTCTGTACTGAACAAAAATAATAATGCATTTTTTTAATTATAACTAGGAATATGTACACCTGTAGTTGTGTTGTTACACATTTTAAATTCACAATCTCAGAATCTAACAATTATATATATTTAGTAATTATTCAAGACAAATATTGAATGTTTTTAATTAAGCACTGAAATGCAAAAAAAAACCATATATATATATATTAGGGCTGTCAATCGATTAAAATATTTAATCGCGATCGATCGCATGATGTCCATAGTTAATCACGATTAATCGCAAATTAATTGCACATTTTTATCTGTTCTAAATGTGCTTAAGAGGAATATTTTTCAAGTTTTTAATACTCTTATCTTACTCTTAACATATTAGTGGACAAATATGCTTTATGCAAATGTTTGTTTATTATCATTGGAACAATGACAAATATTCTCCTGAATATTTTCAATAAAACAACCTGGAACCTCTCTCTCTCTCTCTCTCTCTCTCTCTCTCTCTCTCTCTCTCTCTCTCTCCCAACCCTGTGTACTTCTTTGCACTGAGCCAGTTGCTCAAACAGACAAGCCTGTTTACAGTTGTCGGCGAAATGCCGCTCCTCTGTCATCATCTTCAGTCAAAGCATGAGACTGAAGTTCCCACTGGGTCAAAATAATGCTCTGTGATGTGCACTCGACACGTTGGATGCGATCCGAATTATCTAACGCAGCCCCTCGTCCTCCACTATGTTAAGCTGTAGCCCCCC